ACTGGGGATCTTGGCATGGGGTCTTGGCATGAGACCTGGCTGCCTCCTGCATGCATGTGTGACTGTTTTGTATTTGCCATGCATCTTGGTGAAGCATGGGCATCCAAGGTGGCAGACTATCTTCCTGGCCCACTCTGAGCCTCCCACCTTCAGTGAATTTCCCAAGTAACCTAGGAAACAGCATCAGCCTTGTCCATCCTTGTGTGCTCAGCTCTGTGCAGTGCTTAAGAAAGGGCTGGAGATGAAAGCAACCCATACTGTGCCCTTAGGAGCTCTCAGCCTTGTACAAAAGAAGGTAAACTTCTGCTCCAGAGAGCCTTTGGACTGGTTGGGAAAGCACCACACATTTACAGGTGCCAGTGAAAGAGCAACCCCAGCCCAGAATAAGCCAGGCAGACATAACCAGTTGGACCCTTGGGGAGCTGGAACAGTCATGGAAGCTGCCTGGAGGTGCTGGGATGGAGCTGGGCCTTGAAAAGGGGCATGAATTAGTTGATACCCTTGGGCTGGGCCCAGGGCCAATATCTGAACGTCGGGCGGGAAGGCTGATTCTTAGGAGCTCTCCAAGGTTCCCGATCCGATATCAGAGCTAGGCAGAGTTGAAGAATGGTGTTGTGCTGTCCGCGGTGCTGAAAGTTCTGATTCCCATGCGGTGACTGCATTCCTTCTGTAAATACTGCTTCTGGCCCTCCCCACCAATATGTCATCACCTTTTCTCCCTCACCACTACTACTACTAGTACTACTTCCTCTCCTCCTCCTTCTTCTATCATCATCATCATCACAGGGTCTCACTCTGTCACCCAGACTGGAGTACAGGGGCACAATCTCAGCTCACTGCAACCTCTGCCTCCCAGGCTCAAGCAATGCTCTCCCTCAGCCTCCTGAGTAGCTGGGACTATAGGCATGCACCACCATGCCTGGCTAATTTTTTTTTTGTAGAGATGGGGTTTCATCATGTTGCTCAGACTGGTTTCAAATTCCTGGGCTCAAGCAATTTCACCTGCATTGGTCTCCCAAAATGTTGGGATTACAGGTGTGAGCCACCACATCCAGCCTCTCCCTCACTTCCTGTCCTTTTCTTTCCAAATAACCAGTGACCCCATTGCTGTGCCTCACCACAGTCCAACTCACCCTTTTCCCCATGCCTACCCCTGTCCCTTGTACTCCTTCCCCCATACCTACCAATAAATATAGTCCCTCATGGTTCCTGTCTCCTATGACCCATGTCTCTCTAGATGGTATCAGAGATAGAAGTGCCAACCATTTGAAAGGGATGCTTGGAGTTGTCACAATAGCTTGGGGGTGCTAAATGACATTTAGTAGACTGTGGAGTCTCACATAGCAAATATTTGATCCACCTGAAATGCCAATAACATCAATAAAGAATCAATTTACTATAATTTTTCTAAGAGGCACAGAAGACCAAGGGGGAAGGGCCTTTGTCATGGGCACCTAGCTATCCAGAGACAAAACTACAACTAGAATATAGGCTCTTATCTCCCAGCCAGGCTTCAGGACCACCCCAGATAACTGCCTAAACTAGGAACTGTTTGCAAAGAGTCAGCATGTGAAATGGGAGAGCCCATTGTAATGGGGGCTTTTGGCATGCCTGGGCCACTCTGGGTATAGAAATCAGGCCTCCAAGACTATAGAATCCTGCATGAAAAGACCCTGCCTGCATCATTCAGACCCTAATACCCCCTGGAAGGCCACACTCCACATCATCATCGACCCTCAGCAGGGGCACCTGTGTTGCTATGGCAATGGGCACCCACCTCTCTGCACCCAGCCCTGCAATTCTAGCCTTGCCATTTGCCCTCAGTGGCTCCAATATGGCCTCTACTTACTTGTCTGTCCCAAAGGAGTTCAAGTCCAGTAGCAAAGAAAAGAAGGATCAGGTCCAAAGAGATGAAGTTCATAGTGAATTATGGCAAATGCAATAAAACAGAATTTGTGTTTTTCAAACTATGGATTATGACACAAGAGTGGACTGTGGAGTCAATTTAATGGGTCATGATCAGTGTTTGTGTGTGAAATGAATAGAAGACATTAGAATAGACTGGAAAGGAAAATAGCACAGCTGTGCCCCAGCTACATCTTGCTTTTTGAAACTGGATTCTCTCTCTCTCTCTCTGTGTGTGTGTGTGTGTGTGTGTGTGTGTGTGTGTGTGTGTGTGTGTGCTGGATTATAATATAAAATGTATGTGTTATTGTGGTTCAAGAGCGGTAAGACAGGAAAGCTATGTGACAAGAGAAGGGAAGGGATGGAGGAGGAAACAAAGAGAGAATTGCTTCAGACCTAGGGTGCTGGGAATGGCTCCAGGCAGGACGTGACATTTGAGTGAGGGATTAAAGATGGGTAGGAGTTCATTTGTGAGCAATGGATAAGAAGGAGGGGGTGCTTTAAGAGATAAATCCAGACAAAGAGGGTACGTGCCAAGCCTGTTTGTGCCAATGCCCATGGCCATGCAGAATGCTGGAGATGGGTCAGGACAGCTAAACTGGGGCCTGGGTGTCAAGGGCTTTGACTATCACGCCAAGAAACTGGACTTTATTAATGACAGCAATAAAGAGCCATTGATGGCTTTTAAGCATGAATCAACATGGTCAAGGTGGCAAGAAAAGAGGCAGGGAGGTGAGACAGGAGGCCATTGTGGCAGTCCAGGCAAGAAGACTAGAGAGCAGATGGAGGGATGGGCAGGAGGGGAGTGGACTCTGGAAAAAGAAAAGAGGAGACAGAATCCATGGAACTTGGGACCCCTGGGCATTGGTGTGAGGGAGAGGAAAGGTCTCTGATTTGCAGCATTTCTATCCTGACCCCTTCTCACCTGCAAGCCCACCCCATGGTCAGTGCCACCATGAGATATCATACTTGAGAAACAAATGTTCTGAGGCCTTCTCCTCAGGGAACCCCCAGCCTGATCAGATTTACTCACCTGGATAGTTCAGGGCTGGTCATGGGACAAGGGCTGGAGTGTGGGGCTCAGGCGGTCAGGACTGGGGTTGCTTAGGGGAGGGAGAGAGAGAGAGAGAGAAAGAGAGAGCTATAGGGTAGGAGCAATCAAGAAGGTCTTCCTGAAGGAGGGGGCCTAGCACTGAGCTTTAGGAAAGCTGGATGATATCTATGAACACATAGAAGATCATTTTTCTGCCCTTTGAAGCACAGGCAGGATCATGGTCTGCCTCACCTCACACAGACTGTTCAGAGGCACTGTAAACCCCCATCAGGGAGGGACTGTTCATTTCACAAAAGAGCTTACTCTCCTTAAATACTTTTACTTTTTTAGTCCAGTGACATCACTATCACTGACCCCCACAAGTCGAGGTAGCCCCTCTCTTTCGTGAGCACTAATGTTGGTAAGGAAAGATGGTCCTAGGTATCAAATTCAGAGCCCATCGTGGGAGTTGGGCACCATGGCCAGGGGTGGGGAGCAGGGTTCTTCTTCCTGGGAGTCAGAATCAGTGTCAGACCAGGGCATTCCCTGACTCGCTTGGCAGGGGAAGGGCAGGGCCCTGCCAGGGATGGGTCTTGGCCCAGGAGGAAGGAATAGGCCAGTCACAACCCTGAGTTTGAAGAATGGATGAGCTCCAGGCACCAAACTAAAAAGCAATTAAGCTAATAGAATCTTCCCCATTGATTTTGCTCTTTGGCAAGTGCTCTTTCCTAATTCCATTGCTTCAAACTCATCGGGCTCAACGGAAGTGGGTTTTTAAGTAACTTAATTATTTCAGAACACATTGCCTCCAAAAACAACCTAAGGTTCCCCCTCCAGCTCTGCAACTCTGTGCTCTGTGAGCTATTTATTTTAATTAGCTTTACATTGTATATCTAACATATGCTAAAAAGAAAATTTCACAGACAACCGCTCATTAGTCAGAGAGCTAAACCCTGGTACAAATCACCCCCAAACAATGGAACATTCAGCGTTTGTAATCCACCTGGGGAGATCAGAAATACATAGCGGTGCAGGCAGAGCAGAGGCAGGCTTGGAGAGCTCCCGGCCTTCTCTGGTGAGAGGGCTTCCTCCTCTCACCAGAGCTGGCATATGGAGGGGGTGGCTTAGGAGCCAGACCTTGACAGTTAGAGCTGAGATCAAGAGAAAGGCAAATATGAGCATTTTTCAACTTTCCTACCTTCCCCTTTGATAAAATCTGCACTTTTGTACACAGGGCATTACTGCTTGAAATGTCTTTTCACACATCTTGTTCCAACTTGAATACAGAGGCTGGTTCTTGAACATACAGAGACATCACGTGGTGGCCTCCTAGGCAGCAGCAGCCCAAGGGCAGTGGTCCAGCCCTGAGTCCCCAGCATTCCCTCATTCCTGTTTGCCACTACTTGATGTGGCCTAAATGTTAAGAACAGAAGGCCTGAAGCCAGAACTTCTGGGTTTGAATCCTCTTGTCATTTTTGTATCCTTGGCCAGTAGCTTAATCTCTTTGTGCCTCAGTTTCCTCCTTTTTGAAATGGGTTCATATTAATGCCTACTTATGGAGTGGTTGTGGAGATTGAATGGACAGGCGTATCCATAGCAGTTAGAAGAGGGCCTGGTACTTGAGAAACACAGGCTACGTAAGTGGTAGTTATTATTAAAATGGAAGTGCTGATATTGGTGAAGTATGGATCTCATAAATATAAAACAGTTGAGATAAGGATATAAATTATGTGGCATGCTGAAAGCAGTGAATCTTCAGGCACAACCCAGTGCTCACATTGGATTCCATTTTGAAGCAAATGAACAAAATGAAAGTGTACAAAATGCTAGTCAAAGATTGTATCTAAAATGGTTTTTAGCATGCCTTTAGCTATTATGTAAGATGAGACTTTTGTGTTATTTTCACATAAGTAACTTCCATGTAAACTTTCAGATGCACATTGTATTTTCTGGCCTAGGAGAGCTGAGGTGTGTACACTTTATCCTGTGTGCACCAGGGAGCCAGGGAGGGCTCTTGAAGAGGGGAGTGACCTGACTCTTGGCAGCTGGCATTGTTTTGTAGGGAATGCCTACCGAGAATGCTTGGAGAATGGGACGTGGGCCTCAAAGATCAACTACTCACAGTGTGAGCCCATTCTGGATGACAAGGTGAGTGGCCCTCACCTGCCTTGACCCCAGGCCTCACACAGGTTTGGGACTCAGGATGAGCACAGAGGATCCCAAGGTGGGCAGACCAGTCCTTATGTCACCCAGCCACTCCCTTCGGTACCTCCTGCCCAAGCCCCCAGTGTCCTGCCCTGTGCTCAGTGACACTGTAGGGAGACAGGAAGGGGACAGGAAGTCCCACCTTCAAGGAAGCTTGAGCTGCTAGAGGACACAGCCAAGGAGGCAGGGGACACAAAAAGGGAATAACCATGTGGTTAATGCTCCCAACATCTTAGAGGCTATGTGACTGCACACCTTCCTCTCCCTCTGGGCCTCAGTCTCCCCATCTGGCATTCTGATCCTGTGACTCCACATGGAAACAAATGCCGCCCTACAAGGGCTGTCCCCACAGGAAGCTGGGCTCTGCTCCGCCTCCCCAGCCCTGTTCCAGCTCTGGCTCTGGAATTTGATTCAGTGCTGCTGAGACACTGAACACCTCCCCTTGAAGCTTCGCCTCATTCCTGACCTGAAATTATACATCTCAGCCCCATCCTCATTATCCAACACAGTCCTCAGTGGGGCTGGAACTTTGCCCCCAATGAAGTCCAAATTCAGAGGGAAAAACATTCACCCACCCTGAGAAAGTGATTCTGCAAAATGTGAGCCACAGAGGTCCTGCAGGGAGGCCACTCGGCAGGCAGGGCAACCTCCAGCCGTCGGTCCTCACCCCCACTCTCACTGCCCCTCCAGCAGTGGAGAATCAACACGGGGCGGCCCTCCCTGGCAGGAAGGAGTATTTCATCACTGACTTTGTTTCAAATTGCCAACACTTGGTGATAATTAAAAGTCAACTGACTTTTATCCCCTTTGAATAGAATTTCCAAATTCTCTATAGACAATGCACCCCCCTCCCAATGCGGTCTCCAGGGCAGACCAATCTCAATGCACCCCACCCCAGGCCTCCTATAGGCTGTTGCTTCTGAGGCAGGATGGCAGGTTGGCCCCATTGCACGGACATCAAAACGGAGGCCCAGAGATATAAATCAACTCACCCTCAGTCGCTCAGCCAGCTGGGATCTGGGCTGAGACTAAACCCAGGAAAGGCATTCTAGAGTCTAGAATTTTTAAAAAGAATCTGTACCCATACCTCTCAAAATGTGCCCCTAAAAATGCTTGTTGGTGCCAGGCACAGTGGCACCAGCTACTTGAGAGGCTGAGGTGGGAAGATTGCTTCAGGCCAGCAGATCAAGGCTGTGGTACACTATAATTGCTCCTGTGAATAGCCACTGGACCCCAGCCTGGGCAACAGAGTGATACCCCATCTCTAAAAAACTAAAAATAAAATAAATGCATGTTGGAACGCCTGACTACAGCCATTTATAACAATAAGAGCTACCCAGGGCCAACAGGAACTAGTGCTAAGTGCCAGGCATGGCAATGACACCTGGAGCACTTCTGCCCCAAGGTCAGGACACAGAGGTGGCCATGGCTGGAGTCCTCAGCCCCACCCCCACGTGCCCATGCCCACATCTGCCCTGCCCATGTCTGTCTGTCCAGCAGAGGAAGTACGACCTGCACTACCGCATTGCCCTTGTCGTCAACTACCTGGGCCACTGCGTATCTGTGGCAGCCCTGGTGGCCGCCTTCCTGCTTTTCCTGACCCTGCGGTGAGTCCACCTTCCCCCCTTGCTTTCTCCTCGTCCCTCCTCCTACAGCACCTCCTTCACCTCTTTCAGACATTCTCATCTCCATTCCGGGGCCCAGCAGATAAAAGGGCCAGTGGATCAAGGTGGGGTTGGGAAGGGTATCAGGGCATGGATCATCAGCAGGCATGTGGGGTGCAGAGTAGGAGCTGGACTCAGAGGCCCAGGCTGAGTCTCTACCTGGCCTCAGGGGGAGTCCAGTCCCAGTTGACCCCTGACCCCGACTGACCCCTGACCTGCCCCTCCCACAGGAGCATCCGCTGTCTGCGGAATGTGATTCATTGGAACCTCATCACCACCTTTATCCTGCGAAATGTCATGTGGTTCCTACTGCAGCTCATTGACCACGAAGTACACGAGAGCAATGAGGTCACTCTTCGGGGAGACTCGGGGCTAGACCTGGGGGGGATCTGGGCTCCAAGGGCACCCATCTGTCTGTCTGGTCTCTGCCTGGACCCCTCCTTTGACAGGAAACTCACTACCTACCACGATACCCTCTTCATCTTGGGCAGCTTTTACTCTTACAAGCGCTTTCTAATGTTGAACTTCTGGAACTCTATCCCATTCCTGCCCCCAATCTGAGAACAGATCCCATCTCCTCTCTCCAGGCTCTGAGACAGACCCCTTGGAGATTTGCACACAGAGACTGACGTTCCCCAGTCCCCGCTGCTCTCAGCTGGTGACACCTGACTTCCTGGCTGCTCCTTGGCTGACCCAGGGCCCAAATGCTGTCATATGGGCCGTGGCTCAGGTGTAAAACCAGGCCTGAGCTCATCTCCACCTGAACCACTGTCCCACCAGAGCTGGGCTGGGAGGAGCAGGAAGCTGGCAGGCTGGGAGCTTCACAAAGCTGACTCCAGACACATTTATCCTAGTCCACTTCTCATCTTGTGGATTCAGGTGCCCTCAAAGACCCCTTTGAGAAAAAGAGACTGGAACTAACCTCTGTTGAGCTCTCTGTCACTTAATCCCAGTGAGACCAGCAGGTTTCATTTTCCCCATCACATAGACATGGAAACTGAGACTCACAGAGGTGAAATGACTGGCCAAGGTCACATGCTGTGATGATACCTCTACATAAGGGGTCATCCCGCATCCCAGCTGTCCACCCTGGATTTCTGTCCATTGTGTACTGTGTCCAAGCCATTGTAAAACTGTAGACTAGTCTTGGGCCATCACAGAGCCCTGTGGCACACCATCAGAAACATCTCAGTACATTCCCATTGGGTGGCCTGTGCCTGAGCAGACACCAGCCTGATGTGATCCTTAACATCGCCCCACATAGGACCCTGCCTCAGAACCAAACAGGGTCAATCAAGCTGAAGGTACCTTCCAGCTCTAACATGAGCTTGTACTAAAAAGACATCATTAACCATGGAGGAAAAGGAGGGATGGGAGGAGGGGCTCGGTAGCTTCCCACCTCAGCAGGACTTTCTCAGAACAAAGGAGACAGAAGCCACAGGAGGCTCAGAGATCAGCTACCGTGCAGGGGAGCCCAGAAGCAGCCAGCAGCTCAGCACAGGAGGGTTATCTGAGAACCGGGGCTGTCAGAGCCACACAGACAGGATGGGCATGTACAGAAGCAGAGCCCCTGTCACACAGCTCCCTGGACCTGGAGCTGGCTCCATCATTCCCCATGTCCCAGCCTTGGCTCTCAGGGTGCCCTGGGGATGAGCCTGTGGGGAAGAGGATCAGGTGGGGTCTGTTGAGAGGAGCTCTGGCCTGGAACCCCAAGGCCTGGCCCCTGACCCTGCTGCAGCCCACTGTGTGGCTCTAAAGGGGCAGGGGCTTCCCCTCCCTGCCTCCTGCAAGGTGCTTGGGAAGGTAGCCTTGCTCAGAGGGACAGGGACATATTCCCCTCTGCTGGGAAGGTAGCACAGAACCACAGCAGGCACAAACACAGCCACAGCCACAACACATCTCCCCTCATGTCTGCCTTTGCAGTTTTACTTTTTGAGGTTCAGAGAAGTACAGTGACTTGCCCGGGGCCCTGTACTTTGCAAGTCTCCCTCCAGAGCAAGTAATGATTGTGCCAAGTCCAGAAGCTCCCAAACCCACAGTCTTTAGCGAATCCCCTCCCTGGCTGCAGCCCCACTTCATACACCCTGACTTACTTTACTCACCTTTTTCTTCATTTTTTTCTAAATGAGATTTCATATTCCATCCCTAAATAGAAGCAGGTCTGACTTGCTATGGACTGAGAATGACTCAAAAAAAAAATTAAAATGAAAACACAACAAGATGGTTGAATTCCAACCTCTGCCTGCAGAAAGCTCAGAGCCAGACTCCCGCTCTCTTTACTAGAAAGAAAAAATAGAAAGAGTTAGAGAGAAATTAAGAAAGCACACTGGCGCCAACAGAGAGTGGCACCTTAACTGAATCTGAAAGAGTGGAAGAGCACTGGGGAAGGATGAGGCTTTTTGGAGTGAGGTTTGCTGGTATTTCATGGCATGTCCAGGAACCCCCTCTGGGATGCCCTGTGCCTTGTTGCCCTGCCTGAGATGGGTGTGTCCCACCTGGGCCCCAGGTAGCCTCCTGACAGTCCCTGCCCTGCACACAGGTCTGGTGCCGCTGCATCACCACCATCTTCAACTACTTCGTGGTGACCAACTTCTTCTGGATGTTTGTGGAAGGCTGCTACCTGCACACGGCCATCGTCATGACCTACTCCACCGAACGCCTACGCAAGTGGCTCTTCCTCTTCATCGGATGGTGTGAGGGTCCCGGGGGCAGCAGGGCCTAGTTGGGGGGAGGACTTCTCAGCAGACCATTTCACTTTGTCTTGGGTCCAAGGACCAGAGCCCTGCCCTGCCCTCCACCCCCAGTGCAGTTCTGAGGATACAGCTACTTCCTTCCATGCTGGTGAGGAAAAAGCAAAGGACCCTCCAAAGGCTATTCCTCAAATAGCTCTTCGCCCCATGCCAGGAAGGACCTGTCCAAAGGCCATCGTCTCTGGCTCAGAAACTGGCTGGCTCTACTTCTCTATCACAATCACACATCCTTGCTTGGAGAGAAGGGGGGCGGGCATGGACCAGCAGTCTAGGGGCAAGGCACCACTGGGGTGGCCTGCTGCTGGAAGAGTAAAAACATGATCCTACCCCACTGTGGTCCCTCACGGTGTGCCCTACAAGGAGGTCCTTGTCCATCTGTCCCCTGCAGCCCAAGTCTGTCTGTCTTTCAGGCATCCCCTGCCCCATCATCATCGCCTGGGCCATCGGCAAGTTCTACTATGAGAATGAACAGTAAGTGAATGGGCAAGCCATGGTGGGGGTCATGGAGAGGGACGTGGGGGTGTTAAGACAGATCAGCCTTGGCTCCGGCCAATCCATGACGCAGGAATTGCAGCCGCACCGAGATAGACCCACTTTCCTGTTGTCCTTAAATTGAAAAAAATAACCTTCACTCAGACGTAGGGCTCAAGGCACTTTGTTGGATTAAGTTAGGAATCGTAGTTCCTTGAAGTACGCCCCACCACGCACAACCCCTTCGGTCTTTGTAAGGCCTCCTCAGACTTGAATGTGGCAGGTCTGTCCCCGGGTATGTGGAAGGGGTCAAGGCCACACATGACATCCAGAGCTGTCCATGAGCATTTAAAGAGTCCATGGGCATTTCACAGAGCTTGTTTTTTTCCTGAAGTCTCAGTTCTCCCTATGCCAGAGGCCGTGATATGCTGAGCCACCGCCCAAGTGACAGCAACTCTGGCCATGGGTCAGCCAAAGAGCAGCCAGGAAGTCAGGTGTCACCAGCTGAGAGCAGCGGGGCCTGGGGAACATCAGTCTCTGTGTGCAGACCTCTAAGGGGTCTGTCTCAGAGCCTGGAGAGAGCAGATGGGATCTATTCTCAGAGTGGGGGCAGGAATGGGGTAGAGTTCGAGAAGCTCAACATTAGGAAGCGCTTGTAAGAGTAAAAGCTGCTCAGGAAGAAGAGGGCTGCCTTGGTAGGCAGTGGGCTTCCTGTCAAAGGAGGGGTCCAAGCAGAGACCAGAAACCCTGGGAGACAGGGAAAATCCTGTCTGATGCAGGTCTGCACTGGAGGACCGCCAAGATTTCAGAGGACAGAGTTGCCCAAAGTCGAAGGCCCCTCCCTGTGGCCCAGTAGTTGCTGGCAGACCCAGACCCTAAAGCCTCTCCCCTGTCCAGCATCCCCAGAGAATGAACTAAGCCTCTAGCAGCCAGTGAGGCCAGCTAGACTGCAGCTCCTTTCACTCAATACACAACCATTGGCTCAAAATCCCAGGCTGGCGGTCGGAGGGCTCCTCTTCCACATCTGCTGCTTTGTGTGGCCGACTGAGTGCCTGGCACACGGAGCAGCAGGTGTTAAGCAACATGGGAACAGGTGGCCTAAGGCAGCTGGCCCTGGGCCAGCAAGGGGGAGCCCAGCTCTCCCTTTATTCCTGTGCCTCCTGCATGCCCAGTCCTGTGCCTAGCAATCCACCACGGGGCAGGGGAAAGAGGAACAGGAAGAGACCCACGGCCCCTCTTCAGTCTGGCGGGGGTGATCAGACCCACCATGTAAAGCAAAAGATGGCCTGGGTGGGTGAGGGTGCTCACTGGGGCTGGTATTTCCACCAAGGCTTTCCAGAAAGGGGCAGTCCTTGAGGTTGGGTCTCAGGAAGGGTAAAGCTGGAGGACCCTGAGCCCAAGTCTGGGGGAGATGGTCCCCCAGCTCCAGCTCAGCAGGTCCCCTACAGCCACGCCATCTTTGCAGGTGCTGGTTTGGCAAGGAGCCCGGCGACCTGGTGGACTACATCTACCAAGGACCCATCATTCTCGTGCTCCTGGTAGGTCCTCAGTGGTGGCTGGGATGGGGCTGGGTGCCAGGAGGACAGCAGAGGGCCTACCCAGGCAGAGACGCTAGGAAAGATGTGGTGTGGGCAGCCCTGCACACCCACTCTGTATGCTGCCCCCATACCCCGTCCATGCCACCCCATGCCCCAGCGCCACCCAGCCTTCCCTTCCACACACTCAATGCCAGCACAGCCCCGCACCCCTCTGGTGACCTCAGGGCTCTTTCTCTGGGTGGAGAAAGGATCTGACAGGTTGACTTCTCATGCCCTCCCAGTCGGACACTGTACAATGCTAAGACAGCTAGGTGAGCAGGCAGCTAGTGATAAGAGAAGAGTGTGCAGGCTTCTGTTCATTCCTGATCTGCATTCCCCTCGGCCCCCAGCGACCCTCTCTGGCTCCATCCCACCGCCCCCAGCCTGGAGTGGTGGATACCAGGATGAAGCATAATGAGCAATTGTTCCTTGTCCAGCTCCCCGCCCTTTGCGAAATGCATTTGCGTCTGATGTATAATTGCCACACATCTTTAGTCCACAAGCTTTAATTAAGAGAGAGTTTAAGTAGTGGCTGCATTCTGCAAAAGAAACCCATTATATATCATACCTTAAAAAAAAAAGAAAGAAAAAAAGCCCCGTAAGAAATTGGCATTTACGTAAGACTTATTTCAGGCTCAGTAATTTCAGGCTCCTATGTGTACTGGCTTGCTTAAAGGGGCCACAGTTCCTTCTGGGAAACTCAGTGAGAGTGCCATCTCCTCCTGCACACAGAAGGTGCCAGGTGGTGCTTTCTTTTGTCTACCTTGGAGACAATTATTATTTATCTCTTTTGTTTTCTTACTCTCCTTTTTCTGTGACTTCGGGTTTCATTTGACCTCCATCTTTGGAATGTCCTTGATACATGTGAACTGATGGTGACAAGGAAGGTTTCTCACCCACTGCTGGAAATTCCACTGTCAGGGCTTTGTTCACTTCAGAGGAAGAAGCCAGGTTTTGTCAGCAGCTCGTAGAAGGTTTGTCCTTGGACTCCCAGCTGCAGTGAGTCACTCACCCCTCAGTGTGAATGAAAACCCCATGAGATCCATTCCCTCCCAACCAGCTGCCAAGAGCCATCCTGGAGGAATAGGGCTTTTGATGAGCCTGGGACTGAGCCAGGGAAGGTTGACCTCGAAGAGGGGCCAATGGTGGCAGAGGGTGAGTCCCAACTGTAAAGATGTTGGCTAGGTAGTGAGGAAATGCCAAGAGAAAGAGACGAGGAATGCCAGAGCTCAATGTCAAGAACCAGCTCCCTGCTTCCTCTTCCATACCCCTTCTCTGGCTCCACCCCTGCCTCTGTGCTCACAGGCCCTTTCCTTGTCTTTCCCTTGGGCCCAGTTCTTTGCACCAACAGGGGCTTCCAGATTCCAAGCTGAGCCCTTCCAGAAGCTCTATCTACATTATTTCCAACGCTTGCGACTTCAAGTCCTAAAAGAAGCTGGGTTCATCTATAAAATGCTCTCCATTTTTATAGATGAAGAAGCCAAGAGAGATGAATTGGTTTGCCCAAGATCACCACTAATAGCTGGCAGAGCTGAGGCTCAAAGGCAGGTCTCCTGCTTTGTCTCCACCATCTGCCTGCTGTCCTCAAAGTTGGATACATGCCATCCCTACACCCCCCAGCAGTTCACAGCTGGATTTCTGCTGCTAAGATACACTCACTTATTTCTGGGTTCTAAGAAGTGAATCAGGTGGTTGAGTTTGCAGGAAGCCTGGCTGCCTGCTGGTGTTGTCACTATTGGTGTCATGGGACAGGGATGTGGCAGTCACTAGTCCAGACACAGGTCTTAGTGCTCTCAGTGAGTATTTCAGCCTGTGTTGATCTTCTAAGGCAAGCTCTGTGGTTAGCCCCATTGTGGGCAGACAAGGAAGCGGGAGCTCACGTAGTTAAGCAACCTGCCTAAGTCCACACAACTACAAATTGGAACAGACCAAATTTGAGCCATGAGACTACGACTTGGTGCTACAGTTCATGTGGGGGGTGGGCTTCATCAGTTCTTAGCCCAGCTGCCATTTCTCCAGGCCTCTCTGACACCTTAGGAATGATGTAATCTCCCCCACCCCCAACCCCTGCATGCCCCCAGATAGGCCACAAGCCCTCTGCAAGCAGGGGCTGTGACTGCCTGTCCACTTCCCCATTGCTGATGCCTGGCTCAGAGCCTGGCACATGGTCACTTGATTCATCAAATGAATGAAAAATTAAATAAAACCAGAAACCAGGCTGAATAAGAGCAGGGTACAACAGACAGTTCTTACTAAAGAAATGGAGTGTGTTTTTAGCCGGGAGGTAGAGTCTGAGAATGGAAAGCTGGAGAGCTCAGTGTGGGCAGGGTGACCAGAAGGCTCCCTCAAGAGAGAGGAAGTACCTGTTGTGGTGTGAAGGGTGAGGCTGAGAAACAGGCTCGAAGGAAAGAGAGATTTTCAGGCTACATAGACACAAGCTGAGATGAGTGGGGCCACATGACTAAATGCTGCCTAGTGTCAGGAAAGCCTTGTCTCCCAGATGCTCCACACTTGACCCTGTCCCTGACCTTACCTCAGCACAAGAAGCAGGGCCCTATAGCCAAGAAGTACTCAGTAAGCACTTGTTGACTGAATAGATGGATGGGTTAAATAGTGGGTGGACAATTGAATAAACTGGTTGCTAGGTAGACGGGTGGGTGGATGGATGGATGGATGGATGGATGGATGGATGGATGGATGGGCCAGTGGATGAACAGATAATAGAGTAGGTAGATAACTGAATGGATTGGTTATTGGGTAGGTGGATGGATGGGTAGATGGACGGGCACATTAATGGACAGATAAAAGAGTGGGTAGATAGCTGAATGAATTGGTTGTTGAGTAAGTGGATAGAAGGATGGATGGATGGAAAGATGGATGGATGATGGATGGATGGATGGATGATGGATGGATGGATGGATGGATGGAATGATGGGTGGACAGATGGATGAATGGATAAAAGTAGGTGGGTAATTGAATGAATTTGTTGGTAGGTAAGAGGATAGATGAATAGAAGTAGGTGGATAATTGAATTGATTAGTGAGTTGATGGATGAGTGGAAGATTAATATCGAATTCAATAAAATGTGGCAGAAATGATAATATATTTTGATTCCAACAGTTTCTACTCTCAGATAAGTCAGGAAGAATCAGAAAAGGTCAAATACTTTGTATTACTTTTATGAGAAAATTAGGATTCACTTATGTGTTAAGGTGACTTGTGTCCCATGATCCAGAGGAATATGACAGAACCCAGGAGCTGGAAATTAGGTGAGCCCTAAGAGAAAGCTGGGGGTATCAGGTCATGGCAGCCCCACTAAAGGCTTTCCACCCCCAGCCCTCCCTTGGGCCCCCCAGGCCATACGACTGTGAGGTAAGAGAGCAGCAGGCAACAGCTACAGCGGGGTGTGAGCTCTCCCTGCCCCCAGGGCCACCCGAAAGCTTGGGGAGCATCCAGAGGCTACAAGTTGACAGTATTAGGATATCTGCCTATGTCCTGTGTCCCTTCTCTCCTAGCCAGGATTCAGAATTTGGAAGGGTTAGAAGAGCCCAGCCCAAGTGTTAAGAAGCATTGGATTTTCTAGACAGAGGCTCAGGGGTGTGTGTGTGTGTGAGTGGGTGTGCATACATTAGCCAGAAGACACTGCTGGGCTAACAAGTATCTCCCTCGGGCCCATGAGTGCCTTGTCGGGAAACAGCCCCACTGTGTCAGGCCAACACACCCTCCCTTGCCTGCCTGCCTACACTCGGAGGCAGATGAGAAATGCAGGCGTGCTGTGCCCCAGATCCACGCTCACACGTGCACAAGCTCTGTAAGGCAAACATATGTGTGCAAGTGCTTCAATGACAGACCTGCAGACCCACACCACAGCTCCTAGGGGACAACATAGTCATAGTCACAGCTGACACAGACAGACAGACACTCGCAGGCCTACAGGGACCCACACCCAGCAGGAAGCGGCTGAGGAGCCACGCAGGCCAATTCCAGGGCCAGGGGCTGTGTGGGGCGGCTCTGGTGCAGAGGGAAGATTCAGAATGAAGATAAATGAGGCCTGTCCTGGGCCCTCAGAACCAGCCCCGCCGCCCATCCATCTTCCCTGCCTAGGGTGCCTGTGAAGGCTCTGGAGTTCCTGGGCACAGGGTGGGATGCTGGCAGATTAATCACTCATTCAGCAACTGAGTTATTAATCCCTCCAACTGGCCTTGTCTGCCCCACCAGGGCAGGGCTGTCCTCAGTCAGAAGGACCTCAGGCCGACCTGGAGCTGGAGATAGTGCAAAGGACTCAGAGAGCCCCTTAGTCAACAAGTGGGGACCCTGTGGTAGAGAGGGGAGGGAAGCTTCTGTAGGGTCCCTGTGCGGGGGAGAGGGCTGGAGGCTTTCTAAGCCTCAGAAGGCGTGCCCTGTGTTCTCGGTCATGACCCACAGACGCTGCCTTTCCTCCTCGGGCCTGGGCTAGAGACACAGGCTCTGGAAAACAGGGCTGTCTCCGCATCCTGGCAAGGGAGGGTCCGAGGCCTTGGGATGCTGGCAGGTGCTGGGGGGAAAGGTGCAATAGGTATGTGCATGGGACATGGGTTTCCAGGAGGCTGCGGGGAAGGGGTCTGCCTCTCGGCTCCTCTAAGACACATGGTCCTTCCTTTTCCGTCTTTCCCATGCCCGCCCTCTCTCCAGATCAATTTCGTATTTCTGTTCAACATTGTCAGGATCCTAATGACAAAGTTACGCGCATCCACCACATCCGAGACAATCCAGTACAGGTATGTGAGGGGGTGCCTTGGCCCCGCAGGGGAGACGGGAGGAGGACATCGGGCCATCCTCCTGCTACCTGGCAGAGGCTTCTGCCCCAGGCCTCAGCCAGGGAGCTCGCTCAAGCTTCCGGAAGAAACACCACCACGGTGTCTCCTGCCGTTCCACCGGGTGAGGCCTGCCTGCCGCGTGGGCTCAGACCTGCATCCACATCTCACCCCCAGAAAGGCGGTGAAGGCCACCCTGGTGCTCCTGCCCCTCCTGGGCATCACCTACATGCTCTTCTTCGTCAATCCTGGGGAGGATGACCTGTCGCAGATTGTGTTCATCTATTTCAACTCCTTCCTGCAGTCATTCCAGGTAGGGCCCGTGACCAGATGGGGGCCCCACAGTGCGCTTCCCTGAGACTGCTCTGCCAGCTGTGCCCTCACTAGAATGGTCCCTGGGGACTGGCACAGCTGTGGCTCAGTTACATCCACAGAGTTAGAAGCCCATGGACACTCGGCCTGGCCTGGCCCCTGTCCAGGGTCTGGGTCCTACCAGCCTGCACCTACTGTCCCAGCACCTGTTCTGAGGATGCAGGAAGTCCAGCTGAATACCCTCAATAATGTCACACAATATTGAGGTCACCCACACAGATCAGCTTCCACAGCATCAAGCAGACGGTCGTCATGTGACCGCCTCGGTCACCCACCTCACAGCTCCCCGTTCCTCCTCCAACTTCTTCCTCTGGGTTCTCCTTGCTGGGCAGGCTCTGGTGGGGCAGAGTCTGCCTGGTTCCAGGCCTGTGATCACTGCTCACTCAGAGTAGACCCTGGGACATCTGCACCTTGAGGCTAGGATGCCACCCAGCTGACTCCAGGGGTTCCTGGGTCAGAGCATTCCCCCACCATCCTGTCCCCAGTCCCCGCCTCCAGGCAGAGCAGTTCCCCCGCTGGCTCACTCCTGACCACTCCCTCCTTTCCTTCCTCTCCAGGGTTTCTTCGTGTCTGTCTTCTACTGCTTCTTCAATGGAGAGGTATGAGGCCAGGGCCTCAGGGTGGCCTGGGCTACCCAGCTCCTCAGACTCCACTCCAGGGCGGCTCCATTGGTGCTGCCCAGCCTTGCAGGAGTGCCAGGGAGGGGAAGGCTTGAGATACTGCCTGGCCTCAGTGGAACAGGAATCTCCCCAAGGGGCTGGAGCCAGTTTAGGTCAACCGTGCAGGCCCGAAATTACGTGCCAGTGCCACACACGTGCACTGAGAGAGCTGGGTGAGCCGGGGAGCCCAGACCACATGGAATTGAGAGGCCAGAGCAGAGTGGTGACAGGAGGAAGCTTCCAGAAAGAGGTGAGCTGTGTGCCATGCAATCAGGTCTTTATGGACTCAGGGAGCAGAAGAGAGACCGGCACATTCCCCGCTACCTGCCACAGAATAGCCCACACCCTGAGACCAGGCTCTGGGGAGTCAGGCAGCCATGAAGCCTGGCACCAACCACGAGGCCCAGAACCCCAGTGCAGCTGACACGGGGAGGAGCACATTCGTACCTGGGCTGGGGTGGATGAGGACATAGAGCAAAGAGCAGACACAGGCCCCAGGGCCCGGGAGGTCCCAACACGCCAGACGAATGCACTTGCCTGTCTCTGCTCAGGGCACTGGTGCGGTGTCTATGCAGGCCTGCGTCTCTGTGGATGAAAGTCCATGAGCAGATATGGGTCCTGTGGGCTGGATGAGAAGAAGAGAGGGAGCCGGTGAGGCAAAAAACAAAACAAAACAAAACACAAAAAACAAAAACAAGTGACGTTCATGGAGCATTTACTCTATTTGAAACAAGTACGAGGCAAGGATGTGAGGAACATTATCCAATTTCCAGAAAAATTCTTCAATTACCAAACAAATGAAGCAAAAGGACACCAGGTACAACCAAGTTTAGAAATGATCAAAACAGAGTGCTTTCCCTTTCAGGCGGTAAGCCCGGTGGTTAGTCAGGCAGGAGAGTCTAGCAGGTGGTAGGGAAGGTGAGAGCGGCAGAGGGGACCGTCTTCAGGAGGGAGGAGGAGGTGCGCCAGGTGTGTGAGCTGGGCAGACGCCATCAACGCCCTGTGGGGGCGGGGGCCTGGGAAGGCTAAGGGGGCCAAGTCTCCAAGCTGTGCTCTCTGGTCCCAAGATGATAATTTTGAAGTGGCAGAGTGACTCAGGGAAGGGAAGGCAATGTGTCCAGAGGACACTGGATGATCTGGGAGGACTGTGGAGTCAAACCTCTCTAGGAGAAGACTAAGGAAAGGGCCCCTGGAGAGAGGCCACAGGGTCAGGGCAGGACTTCGGTTTTGGAAGCAGACATTTCCTTGGCATGAGGGTGGCAGTTGACCCATGAGGGCAGAGATCAGGGGAGGGGACTGTCCCAGAAGCTCAGGGTTGGTCCCTGGGAGTTGGCTGAGCCTCTGCCTCCCACACAGGTGCGCTCAGCCATGAGGAAGAGGTGGCACCGCTGGCAGGACCATCACTCCCTTCGAGTCCCTGTGGCCCGGGCCATGTCCATCCCCACATCACCCACACGGATCAGCTTCCACAGCATCAAGCAGACGGCCACCGTGTGACCTCTTGGTTGCCCACCTGTGCAGCTCCCCCATCCTCCTCCACTTTCCTCTGGGTTCTCCTTGTTGGGCAGGCTGTGGTGGGGCAGGAGATGGGAAGGGAGAGACCCTCTCCAGCATGGCAGGAAAGAGGGGCTGTGGCAACCAAGGGGGACTCCAAGGGACAGGACCAGCAAAGGCTGCCAGGCTCAGTGCGAGAGGGAGCAGAGGGAATTCCCAGGACGCCCTTAGAAGACCCAGTCAGATGTCTGCAGGTATTTGCTCATCCCAGTCTCTCTGACCAGAGCCTTACTATAGAGGAAACTGAGGCCCAGAGCAGAGAAGGGCCTGTCCAACAGACAGAGCTATTCATAGCGGCAGACAAGGGGCTACCCTGCTCTACTCACAGGGCCAGCTGCCTGGTGATGGTGTGGCTCTGTGCCGGCCCTCGGCCTCCACACTCAGTGGTGCCCCGCAGTTGGGTGGGGTATGCCAGGTGGAGTAAAGGATCAATTTGGAAGTCCTATCCCAGGATCTCTCACCTAGAGAGGCTCACTTGTACCCCACCCTTGTTCCTCTGTCCCCTCCCCAGCCATCCTCCCGCCCCTAGGGCTCCATGAGGGATGCTGACTTCCAGGCTTGGCTTGTTCTCTTGGGAGACCCCTTCTCTGCAGATTAGGGAATCTAGGAAGACACCATCGGGGCAGCCACATTCTTAGGTCAACCAGATATATGGTGCAGGGCAAAACAAGAAGCAGAGGCATGGAGAAGGGAGGTGTGGGATGGGAATAGCAGAAACCAACGATACCTTCAGTGATTGAAACTCACCCCCCAATGCCCTTTGCCCTCCAGCCTCCCTTTCAGAAACATCTCTGCTCTCTGTGAAATACATCATGCCTCTTCAAAACGGCCTCCCCTCAGGTCAAATCACTCAAAGAGTGGTGTGGGCCAATGATGGTGGCTGGGTCTGTGGGGCCACATCCATCAGTGGACTTAAGCCCTGGCCTAGGACCAGTTCTCTCTGACCTCTGGTAGGTTTGGAGTCTTTATGGTCAAAACACCTGCAGGCAGGTCTGTCCCTTATCAATCTGCCCAGGCTAATACCTGGCCCTAGCCCCCAACCAAGGGCAGTTTGATTCAGCCTGGAGGAGGTGTGCAGCTCACTCAGCAAGCCAGGGCCCGTCCCAAAGGCCAAGGCTCTGGAATCTGGTGGAAAGGGTAGACAAAGCCCCTCGGTCTCATATGCAACGACCGTCCGAGCAGCTTCCAGGCTTGGCTTCCAACCCTGTGCCCTGTAGCGGAGCTATAGGAGTCAGGGAGGGAGAAGCATCAGGCTACTGCTTTCAACGGGAACCAATGCTCTAGGTACCCCCTACAAAAATAAATTTTGAAAAATCATGTATCCCATCTTGCACATTTTTAAGTTGACACTTAATATTTTTTACTTAAGTTTTAATACCTTCAGAGGATGTGATTTGTCATTTTGTAAATATTTACATTTTTAAATTAAACTGCTACACCACTTTAAAATACATCAAATGAAATCTGAACACCACAGTGATTTAACACCCACCCTCATCTCTTTTAAAAACACCTGACCCAGCTCTTCTTTATTTTTATTTTATTTTTGAGACTGAGACAGGGTCTCACTGTTACCAGGCCAGAGTACAGTGGCAAGATCACAGCTCACTGCAACCTCTGCTTACCGGGCTCAGGTGATCTTCCCAACTCAGCCCCCCAGATAGCTGGGACTACAGGCATGCACCACCATGCTGGGCTAATTTTTGTATTTTTTGTAGAGACAGGGTCTGGCCATGTTGTTCAGTCAGGCCAGCTCTGCTTTAATTGTGGGAAAGGTTCCATTGCTTCCTTCCTCTGTAATGTGCAGCTTCATTCCATTGCCCTGTGGAATTTTATACCAATGTATTACTGTAATGGCTGAAAGTATTTTATTGCTCACTTTGTCACACTTGTCTGCCACACAATATATGTATGAATTGAAATTAAAATACTTCGTTTTCTATGACCAGAGGTTCAAGGGTTTTTAAAATAATCTGGGTAGAATTATAATTATTTTTTGATATAAAATATAGTAAATCACTGATTAAAACAACATAGATACCTGAAGCTTTTATAAGCAACTAGTTAAACCTAAAAACAAAAATTTACTGAAAACACAGCTTAATGAAATGGATAGAAAGTTAATGCATCTATAGGTGAATATTTATTGCTAGAATAACTCAAGATTCAGCATCAATTATTTGACTTTGTAATTGTCTGTGGTGGGGTGTGCTGAAGAGCCGTTTCAATTCAGCAGATACTCTGACACTACCAGTCATCTCTGTGTACTCCTGCTGAGATGTTCGGCCAAAACTGCATAGTGATCCATCACCAAAAATGACCTATCAGCTGGCTGTTTAATTAAGTGTCCTTTCAATCTGGCTGAAAACAATGAATGTTATCTGACTTGCAGGAGGCTTTGGGCGCCCATGTCATCAGCTCTCACCACCAGCTGTGCGGGTGTGTGCTGCAGGTTAGGGGTGAGTCCTGCTTCTCTTGTCAAGAGGGCAGGGAGGTTCGGGTGCCCTGATTTCATTTTCTCAAGTGACAACCCAGAACTCAGGGTATCTTAGAAAGTCTTACTGCACATCCAGCAGGCAGCTCGATGGCCGCATCCATTAGCATCATGGGGACTCTTGTAGGTACAAGGAGCTGCTAGTGGCTTGGCCCTAAGAGGTCACTTGGGGAGTTCTGTGGCCAGATGAGGCTGTGAGCAAGTGCGTATCAGAGCAGAGGCTGCAGAGCCTGGCACCAAGTCCCAGCCATTCATCGCTGCTTCTTAAGGCAGCCCCCAGCTCATTATGCCAACTATCCTTTGCTTCTTGGAGGGACCAAGGGCCTGTGATCCCTGCTGGGAGGCCAGGCCTGCCCAGGCCAAAACCAAGAAGAGCATCAAAATTGCTAACCTTTGTTCAGCTGACACTTCCTCTCTCCAGTTCAGAGGAGGCTCCTCCTTGGTCCCTCCCCAGCCTGAATCCCTCATTACTCAGTCTCCTGGTTATGACTTCCTCTGAGCTCTGCGCTTAAAATGTCACCAGAGCCATTAGGCCCTCTCTCTGGGTCCCCACTTGTTAAGCTCATTAGGTCCCTGTTCCTTAAGCCAAGCCAGTCCTCATTAGCATCTGCTTCGGCACTGGAAGCTCCTCGTGGAGCCAGCCTTCCTGGAAAGTGGCCTCATTAGCAGACTCTCCTCCACAGCAGGCAAGGTCCAGCACCCAGACCCTGCAGGCCCTTAGGGTCCCTGTTTAACCCTTTCACGCATCCTGATTTACACAACTGGGGAAGACCTGGCTCAGGCCTCTCAGCCCCACTCCAAGGGAGAGAGAGAGGCAGAGCCCTGACCCCAGCACAGCTCCAAGTCCCTCAGCCATCATCGAAGCACGGCTAGAAAGTTCCTGCTGGGGTACAGGCTGGTAAATGACATACACACAGTGGCAGGAGTGATGGGTGGTGGAGCATCTGTGGGGCAGGAGGTGAATGGCAGGGATGGCATGTCTCTCGTGGGTCCCCTGCTGGGAGGGCCCATGGTGGAGCTGCTACCCGAGGGCCTGAAGCCTCAAGACCTGTGGGGGAGGGCACTCACAGGAAGTCCCTTCAGTGTACAGACTTCCCTAGACATGGAGGCACATTCCCGTGGCCACAGAGAGGGAGGCCCAGATGGAAATGACACAAGAGCAGGAACACAGGGAGACTTGTAGGAACACACGCACAGACCCAGAGAGGGAGGCACATGCACCTTCCTCCGTCATTCATTCCCCATTCACAGAACACCAGGGTGTGCCAGGTATGGAAGTAACAGAAAGACAAGGTCCCTGTTTCAAGAAACTCAAAATCTGGTTGAGAACAGCACAAGGAAAAGGTAGGCAAAAGACGCGGTGGGCTCCTGCAGCTCACACATGTCCTCAGCCCCCTGTCTGGTCCATCTCCTAGCCCATGCCCATGGTGGCCCCAAGCCAGCTGGTTTCTAAGTAGGAGGACCTCAGCTGCCTTCCCCACATCTTTCCCCTGCCCCACCATGCAGGCCTGGACCTCCAGATGCTGCAGAGACAGAATCAGGAACGAAGCCCAGCTGAGCCCCTTGTGCTTTCGGCAGCATCTTCAGAGGCCCCGGGCAGGTGGAAGGCACGTGCTGATGTAGCTGGATGGGAAGGGGGCTTCGTACGAGGGACAGGTGAAGGGACTAGGAAATGTACCCTCAGGAGAACAAACTATCTGCTGCACATGTCATGGGGGCATGGAGGCAGGCCTGGGGCTGTGAGGCCCAAGGGGAGTCCTTTCCTAGAGTGACATTTCAGCCAGTCAAGGAGGGTTTGGTGAAGAGCTGTCACTCAGGTGGAACCAGTGGCTGGGGTGGCCATGAGAATAGTAGGGGCTTGAAGGGGGGGACCCCTCCAGCCAGGAAGCCAAGCCCACTGTTCTGAGAGCACACCCAGAACCAAGCCGGTGGCGTGTAACACAGCAGGCTTCAGGAGGCATGCTGAGTGGGGTCTAGGAATCCACAGGCTTCATAAGCCCCAGGTGATTCTGTCAGCTGTGGTGTGGGGACCAGCGAAAAAGGACACATCCCTTTGAGGGAATGTGTCCTCTTTCCAGGCGTAGTTTTAAAGGCAAGAACTTCCCAGTGCCACGTTTCCTCCCCCTCCCATCAGTCTTCATCCCGGAGATTTAAGGGTTTATGTTTAAACTTCTCAGGCACGGGAAGAAACAGTCAATCACTCCAACAGAAGTTCTAAGGAACTCCTTTCATTGGCCTGGGGTCTTAGAGCAGGTGGGGGTTCCTCCCAGGCTAAAAGTCCCCTTCTTCCACACCCCTTCAGACTCCATGTTTGGATCCCCTTCTACGAACACTCCCTTTGAAGTGGAAAGATGGTGGAAGCCATCTTTCTCTCTCCCGGATTTCCCTTCTGAAGTCCCCTTCTACACTGTCTCATGGAAGCCTGTCTTCCCTCCTAAACTCCATCTCTCTCTATTCCCTTCCACTCAGGGTGGAAGCTGCTTTCCTCTCCTGGATTCTCTCACTCAGTGTGAGAGTTAGCTGTTTATTTCTCTCTCCTCCTTTTTCTCTCTCTAATAAATTACTTTCTACAAACACTTCCGAGTCCAGCATTTACTGCACACTGCCCCTTGGTCCCCTCTTCCATTCTTGAGAAGGCAGGCAACCAAGAACCTGGAGAAACGTCCTCTCAGTGGAGCTGAGGGCATGCTGAACCCCAAAATCACATTTTGGTGAGCCAGCCAGGAAAGGGGTACACCAGAAAAAGGGGTACAGCCAGAAGACGGGTACATCCAGGAAAGGGGTACCGCTGGAGAAGAAGACTTCCAAATCATGAGTAAAACCAGCCCCATTCTGTCCTGTCTCTTTAAAAACACTGGAGCAGCACCCAGACCCTCAAGGAGGGTCAAGCCGCAGCAGCAGCGGCCCAGCCAGAATTAAAAGCGCAGGTATTTTTTACCTCCAAGCTCTTTCTCTGCATTCCCTCTCCTTCTCTATCCTTCGGATATTATCTCTGGACCAAAACCTGTGGGAGCCTGAGGGGTGGAAAGGGTGAGCACCCCTGCTTTCGCTCCTTGCTGACTGGGAACGGGGACCACGGAGACCATGGCCCAGCCCCTCAGGTGGGCCCAGGTGTGCGCAGCAACCCATAGCCACCAGCACCACAGCCAGAGAAAAACAGCGGGGAGAGACAAGGTACAGCCTCATCCTGCAGGGGACCAGGAAGCACGGTGGCCTGGCAAACGGTTCCGACAGGCCTCTCCGGCGTTCCCCAGTCCCAGGCGGCAGGGTAAAATGGCTCCCCAGGGCGTTCACCTGACAGCTACGGCTACGGGTTCCTTGTAGACAGCAGCTCCCGGAGTGGCCCAACCATGCACGTGGTTCTGGTGGAGTCAACATGGCCACCGGAAGCCGCGGGGGTGGGGGAACTGACGCCAGCCAGCAGTGGCTGCAAACGCAGCTTTTAACTTTCAAACCCAAAGCGGCAAGCGGATTTTTCTCTGGGCACACACGCTGAAAGAAAGGAAGTGGCTGCTGGCTGTCAGGCCCGCCCGGCTTTTAGGCAGGCCACACCGCCTCAGGGTGCAGCATTCTCATTCAAAATGCGGCTTCAGAAAGCTTTCTGCTTTCTCTTAACTCAAGTGGCCTGTTTGCATAGTTGGCTTAGGTGTAGGGCTGGCAGCTGCTAGATTACTAGTTCAAATCCCTAGTGGAGCCAGTCTTGAATTTGGGGAAGTCTTTTGGGGGAAATTCAGAAGCTGAAAGCTATGGGACTTAGTATTTGGTGTATAATCCTTGCTTAGGATTGGCTCGCTCTCTCTGGCAGAACTTTTCCATCTAGATCATAGTTAAACCAGTTCCAAGGCCCAAATAGTCTATGGCAGTTCTCCAATTCCTAAGGGCATTTTCGTACAATGGAAAATGGGTTAGGGGAGAGGAGGCCCACGTCCTGAGGGCGTTGCTCTGGCCTCAGCCACGCCCAGCCTGCCTTCTTTCTACTGTGTGCTCTAATGGCCCCTCCCTAGAAGTTTACCTTTCTGGGGCAGTTTTATAAATTGTCCTGTGT